CTTCGCGGCCCCTCAGCGGCCCCCTCTCGCGGCCCCTTCGCTGCCCCTTAGAGGCCCCCTTCGCGGCCCCTTAGCGGCCCCATCTCGCGGCCCCTTCGCTGCCCCTTAGAGGCCCCCTTTGCGGCCCCTTTAGTGGCCCCTTAGCTGCCCCTTAGCGGCCCCTCAGCGGCCTCTTCGCGGCCCCTTCGCGGCCCCTTCGCGGCCCCGCCCCGTTGCCCGTAGCGGCCCCGCCCCGTCACCAATCGCGGCCCCGCCCCGTCGCCACCCGGGCGTCCCCCCTCCCTCGTCGCGACGCCTCAGCGGGACCTGCGCGTCTGCCTTAGTTGCTGAGCTTGTCGACTTCGTTGCTCACTGTCGTCTAGACTACGCCGCGAGTCTTGTTGCTGAGTCTGAGTCTGTCTGTCCTCCGTCCGTCGGGGGTGAGTGTGCTCTTGGCACAGACGTCCTTGAGGACAGGCAGGAGGAGTTCCAGTGCTTTGCTGCTGCTTTACCGCATCTCGTGTCCATGCTGCTTGCCCCTGAGGGAGACCCGGATGCACCAGACATCCCGACTCCGCGTTCTTACGCAGAGGCGATAGAGGGTCCCTACTCTTCTCAGTGGCAGACAGCCATGGACGCAGAGATGGCTTCCTGGAAGTCCACAGGCACCTACGTTGACGAGGTTCCCCCGCCTGGGGCGAACATCGTCAGTAGCATGTGGATTTACAGGGTGAAGCGGCCGCCGGGTTCTCCGCCTGTCTTCAAGGCGCGTTACGTGGCTCGAGGCTCCAGTTAGCGGCAGGGAGTTTACTACTTTCATACCTTCTCTCCCACCCCGAAGATGACCACTCTTCGGGTGCTGCTGCACATAGCCGCTCAGCGCGACTACGAGCTTCACTCTCTTGATTTCAGCACTGCTTTCCTACAGGGCAGCCTGAACGAGGAGATCTGGCTGCGCCGCCCACCTGGCTTCACTGGGTCGTTCCCTCCTGGTACCCAGTGGAGCCTCAGGCGGCCAGTCTACGGTCTCCGCCAGGCTCCCCGTGAGTGGCACGACACACTGAGGACTACGCTTGCGGCTCTTGGGTTTGCTCCTTCTACTGCCGACCCGTCGCTGTTTCTACGCACCGACACCTCGCTGCCGCCATTCTACATCCTCGTGTACGTCGACGACTTGGTCTTTGCTACTGCTGACACTGCTGTACTCGCCCACGTGGAGTCCGAGCTGCAGAAGAGACACACGTGCACAGACCTGGGTGAACTGCGCAGCTACCTTGGCTTGCAGATCACCCGGGACAGAGCACGGCGCACCATTACCCTGACTCAGTCACACATGGTGCAGCAGGTCCTTCAGCGCTTCAACTTCACGTACTCCTCGCCTCAGGCCACTCCTCTGTCTACTCGCCACTCGCTCTCAGCTCTGCCTTCGGATGAGTCCGTAGAGCCGAGTGGCCCGTACCCAGAGCTTGTTGGCTGCCTCATGTACCTGATGACCTGCACTCGTCCTGACCTAGCATACTCTCTTAGCATCTTGGCACGCTATGTTGCTCCTGGGAGACACCGACCAGAGCACATGGCTGCTGCGAAGAGGGTGTTGCGCTACTTGTGCAGTACGTCGGGCATGGGGCTCGTGCTTGGAGGGCTGAGTCCAGTGGTCCTCACTGGTCACGCAGACGCTTCTTGGGCTGACGACTTGGCTACCCATCGGTCGTCAGAGGGTTACACCTTCAGCCTTGGTTCCGGCTCTGTTTCGTGGCGGTCTACCCGCTCGTCTTCTGTTCTCGGCTCCAGTTGTGAGGCCAAGATCTATGCAGGGGCCATGGCTGCACAGGAGTTACGCTGGCTCACCTACCTGCTGACCGACCTGGGAGAGCCGCCTCGTTCTCCTCCAATTCTGTACGTAGACAACAAGGCCATGCTGGCCTTGTGTCGGGAGCACAGACTGGAGCACAGAACGAAGCACATTGCTCTTCGCTACTTCCTTGCTCGTGAGCTGCAGCAGCGTGGTCAGCTGTGCCTTGCTTACGTGGCCTCTCAGGCCAACACTGCTGATATCTTTACCAAGGCACTTCAGCCTTGTGATCATCAGCGCTTTTGTATGATGCTAGGTCTTGTGCCTACTTGGCCTCACTTGCTTACTTCTTGACCTTCCTTGTACTGTGATCTATATATACCTGCACTTGCTTGTTTACCTTTGTATATATGATCCTGCATGTGAACTGGCCTTGTGGCCTTGAACCTGTGCTCGGAATGTGTGGTGACGTTGTGATCCACCCTGAGCTTCCTTTGCTTTGCTTGACTGGTCTTGTGACCCCTTGTTCTCCCCCACTTTGCCTATGGGGGCGTGTCAAACTCATATGCTATAGTCTATCTAGGCTGTAGTGGGGTAGACACTAAGGGGTATGGTTTCCTAGGGTTTCATACTTGTACCCCTCACATTCCTTAGTCCATCATTCCTCATTCTTCACAATCTGCTGGTTGCTTGACTTGCTCTTGTTGTACACTGATTTATATCTTTATACCTACTTGTTTACTCTTGCTAGGTTGTGATCAGCGTACTGCCTTGCTATTATAATTCTGCATGTGAACTGGCCTTGTGGCCGCTTGCTTGTGCTCAGATTGTGTGGTGTCCTTGAGATCCACCCTGAGCTTTGCTTTGCTTGTTCTCTTGCTTGACTGTCTGTTGTGTTTGCTATCTCCCACTTAGCATATGGGGGTGTGAGAAACTATATGTTTGTGTTCTCTTTAGGCTATAGTGGGTTAGCCTACAACGGGTACAACACTTTAGGGTTAGTACTTGTACCCACCTCATTCATAGTTCATTCATTCCTGCACAGTTGATTCTGACATGATCCTGTTGCCTGGAGCAGTGAACGTTAGTTTGAAAGTCCAAATCGGTGAGTTGCCAAGGCAGAGAGCTTTGGTGAGGAAACGTTTTTTCTGCTCTGGTCAGGAGGAAGTCGAGTTCGGAGGGACGGGGCTGGGAAAGTGGAGGATGGGCTGGCGGCGGACATTCATTGGCCAAAGTTGTTCGCAAGGAGGACGGGTTAGGGCATGCACAGTCTTCCTTACAAGTCATAACCAATACATTGATCTATACTTTGTCAGCAACGTAACATATGAATTTATGCGTTTTCGTACTCTTTCGCACGAATGACATATCTGCCTTGACTTTCGCGACCTCAGCAAAGAGCCTGAAACTGGCATTGCTGTTTCTCCTGAAATCCACCTGCGAGTGTTGTGCTCAGGTGGGCGCCTTCCAGGGCTAAACTGCCCTCCGCTGCGGTCGTCGGGGGTCAGTGTGCGTCATGCCTCCCCTCAGTTTGACAGCAAGGCAGGGCAAGACCTACTGTGATGCGCCTCGTCACATTTTGCACACATGTTGTTTCTTCTCCAACCCCCTCTTCCGTTTCCATCAGTGCCATTTATGTCTGTAATAGAACTACTACTTGCAGCAGTACTTGATCTCCTACTTCTCGATCATCCCTTTTTCGCCATGAACTCAAGCAGTAGCCCGTCGTTACTCGTTTCAGATTGCCCTTTGTTATACCTGGTTATAAGCGACGTATTCAGTGATGATTTTCAGTGGCAACGCCAGATCGTGACACAGACCCCGAAACCCTAAAACGTGACGGTCACGTTTATTCTTAGTCTATCACGCATCGGAAGGTTTTAACGCGGCCAATTGAGTCGGATTTACGAGAACGCTAACGCTGACAGATCGTGGCCGTCAGAGTCTAATGGCACAGCGACAGTTGCCGTTCAGGTCGTTACCTGCGGTTTCGTGGCTGCTTCTCGCGCTTCTACTGGCGTCATTGCTGACGTCAGCGCTCTCTACACTGGACGAAGAGGTAACGCGCTTCCGACGGCCGCCCCTCCCTATTGTGTGTATTTGATACGAGACCCCTGTTCCCCTTCTCGCTGTTCCTGTCCCAAAAGTTCTTTTTCCTCCTCTACTCCCCTTTTCCTCCTCTCTGACCTGTCTTCGGTCCCTCTTCCTTCTCTCGTCCCCACTCACAGAGTTAGGGTTATTTTGCCAGGTAATTCCATTAGGTCTCATCCTTCCCCACTCTGCCCCCTCCCATCTCCAAAGGTGGCTGCATAGAATCCTCGATGAGACTCGGTCAATGGAAACCTGGATGGGATTCGGTCAACAGGATCCTGGATGGGACTCAGTCAACGGGATCCTGGATGGGACTCAGTCAACGGGATCCTGGATGGCTTGCCAAATTCTAACTGAACCCTCTTTTCACCGCCTTCTCTCACTCTTCCCCTCTTCCGATGTCCCAAAGGTGGCAGCCCAGGAACCTGGAGGATGGGAAGACTTCGGTAGCGATGATGCAAGCGAAATCAGTTTAGGAAGCGAGGACATGAGCAGCAACAGTGACAGCAGCAACAGCAGCAGCGAGAGCAACAATGACACTAACGGCAGCAGCAGCAGCAAGAGCAGCAACGACACTAACAGCAGCAGCAGCAGCAGCAGCCACAGTTAGAGCAGCAGCAATGACAACAGTAACAGTGACAGCAGCAATAGCGACATTAACAGCGGCAGCAGTAACATTAGCAGCAGCGACAACAGTAGCAGCAGCGACAACAGCAGTAGTGACGACAGCAGCAGTGGCGGAAGCAGCAGTGACGGCAGCAACAGTGGCGGCAGCAGCAGTGGCGGCAGCAGCAGTGGCGGCAGTGACGGAAGTGACGGCAGTAACAGTGAAAGCAGCGACAGCGGAGAAGATAATGGATGGGATGAGTGTGGACGGGGACGGAGAATGTGCTATGACAATGGTGCCCCCGATGGCAAGTACTGCAGGGATGTGAACCAGCCGTGCTTGCAGGAGGAGCTGTCGTCCTGGAGCCAGGACGTGATCCACTATGGCCCAGGCTGTCAATACTGGGACCAGTTTGAGTGCACCGAAACCAAGGAATGCGTGCACCCGTGCGACTACTTCTCCAACTGCCCACTAATGAAGCACCCTGTAACGAATCAGAATCTGCCTTACGGCGAGGACGAGAATCCCGAGATGTGTAATACGAAGGAGAATGGGTACTTCAAGTGCCAGCGGCAGCAGAAGGTGATCGTTTCCGGGTTTGAAGAGGAGGGGGGCGTGTGGATCGACGTTTATATTCGTACATGGGAGGTTTGCGATGGGAAAAACGACTGCCCTTTAGGGGATGGTGAAGGGGGCACCACTCCAGATGCTGCTGCTGCTGCTGCTGCTGCTGCTGCTGTTGAAGCTGTGACTAGTACCGGTGCAGAAGCAACGTCTTTTAGTGATGACGAGGATCCGGCTATGTGTAAGAATCACAGATGCTACAACTCATACTGGAAGTGTCCTGGAAGCACCCTGTGTCTTGATCATTCTCAGAGGTGCGATGGCAAGAACGACTGCCCAGTGACCAGCGCTGCCAATGGTTCAGCCATGGGGATGCATGGTGTAACTGAAGGTTCAGATCCTGCAGCAGAAGGCGTCATGGGTGGTGGTGGTTCACCCAGCAGCACCACTAGCTCACCCACAACTACCGCTTTGCCTGCCTTGCCACCGTACACAGCCGACGAGGACCCTTTCCTCTGCCGCTCATTTGTCTGTGAGCCATCATTTTGGACAGTCTTCAAACAGTGCCCTTCTACTGGCAGGTGCCTGCCATTGGAAAAGTGGTGCGATGGAGTCAACGACTGTATTGATTATGCCAACTTCAGTGGTAGAAGCACCAGTGCTGCTAACGGAGCTGCTTATGCTGATGACGAGGATCCCGAGGTGTGCCGGACTTTTGAGTGCCGCTGGGGTTACAAGAAGTGTCCCAACGGCGTTCAGTGCGTGGAAAAGACCCGCTTCTACGACGGTGTCATCGACTGCCACGTCAGCACGGACTCCACATCAGCAGTAGCCTCTGCCACGTCAGGTGGTGTGGTTGGCAGCAGCAGCAGCAGCAGCAGCAGCAACAGGAGCAGGCAGTGGCTGCATGACGAAGATTACGAATTCTGTGAGAGCTGGAGCGAGATCCATTGTTCACGGTGGTCCTACATGAGTCGATGCGACAACAACCCTTACTGTGTCAACGAGAGCATGAGTAAAGATTTGGCGAAGAGCCAGTGCACTGGTAAGAAAATGTTACCTTTGAGAATTCCCAAATGTAACTCCAAGAGTGCGGAACACACGAAGAGCCATTGAGCAGGTCAGAAGGTGTTAACTTTTGAGAAATTTCTAGTGTAACTCCAACAGTGCGGAACACGTGAAGAGTCGGTGGACAGGTAAGAAACGGCTGCGATAAGCTAGAATTCCCCTTTTTTTCTCTCTACATTCCGTTTATTAGTTCATATTCGGTTCGTTATCTGATTATCTACTTTGCCAGAGGTGGGTTAATTCTCAAAAGGTTCCCATTTTCAGTCAATTCCCCTCCTCTTGCTCTTGCCCCTGGTATTTGTGCTGCTTCCAGCGATTTATCAATTGGCACATGTGTTCTCAAAGGCAACCCAGAAACCCCCCTTCACTTACTCTTATTCTCTGGTGTTTGCGATGCTTCTAGCTCTGAATGAATGGGCAAAGGAACAGAAAGAAGCTGCAGCTGCAGTTGCCGCTGACCCAAAGAAAGCTGACAATTCAACTGCAGAGGTTGCCAACACCGTTGGTGGGAGTGGAAACTCCACCTCAGGGGATGGTGCTTCTGCTGGGACATCAAACACCACCTCAGAGAACGGTGCTGCTGTTACGCCATCGAACACCACGTTAGTCTCACGCCCTGGCTCATCTCGTAGGAGCAGGAATGGGTCGGAGACGAGAGGAGATGCTGGTGGAGCTGTTGCCGGTAACAAGTCAGACCAGGGAGGGGGAAAGGATGGGAGAAAGACAGAAAGATGGGAGGGGAGAATGGTGGGGAGAAGACAGGGGGGGCTGCCAGTGGAGAGAAGCAAGGGGGGGAAGCGATTGGGTTGAAGAGGGAGACAGAGAAAGAGAAGAAGGCAAGAGAGTGGGAGGAGCGAAAGCAGCTTGCAAAGAGCAAAGAGAAGGCAAAAAAGGAGGCTGCAGAGAAGAGAAAGCAGGAGGAAGAGGAGAGGAAGGCGAGGGAGGCAGAGGAGAAGGCGAAGAGGGAGGAAGCTGAGAGGGCGAGGAGAGAGGCGGAGAAGGGTAAGGGAAAGGATAAGGGGAGGGGCAAAGGGGGGAGCAGGAAATCACCTATGCCTCCACCTGGGAGGAAAACAGGGGTAAGAAAGTCACAAAAACCTTTGATGAGATGAGGGCATAGCTCGATTAGCATTTCTACGCTTTCCTTAAGTATACATAAAAACAAAGGTTGTACCTTATTTTTCTGTCTGTACAATGTTGATGTTTATTATGTTAGCTCTGTACATTGTTGTATACTGCTCCAGCAGATTTAGTTTTTTGGCCCTGGGACTAAATAGTCTGATTGGTGGTACATCAGCCTTCTTGTGTGCATATTCTTATGCATCTCCTTCTTATACATTCAGTTCCCGAACCTGTGCTCATCCTAAATTCCTGGAATTTCAACCTTATTGCTAGGCCTTCATTGCATTGTCAGTTCATTTAGTCAGAGCTTCGTTATTAGTTCAACATTCTTATTCTTCCTTACAACTCATAACCAATGCATGTACAACTCGTAAGCAACGTAACATTCGCACACTCGTTTTCTGTCGCACGAATGACATATCTGCGTTGACTTGCGCGACCTCATCAAGCCCCCTGAAACTGGCATAAATGTTTCACCTGAAATCTACCTGCGAGTGTTGCGCTCAGGTGGAGCCCTTTCATCCAGGACTGCCCTCCCCTGCAGTCGTCGGGAGTCAGAGGGCGTCATTCCGCGACACCACCAACCTCAGTTTGACAGCAAGGCAGGGCAATCTACCGTGATGCGCCTCGGCACATTCGCGCGCAAGCTGATTCTTTTCCAACTCCCTCTTCCGCCCCTAGCAGAGCCATTTTGGCATCCCAGTTTCCTTCTTTTGGTATTAGTAATACTACGATCTTTTGCTCTCATTGATTCCTTTGTCCCTATAATCTCAAGCAAGACCGCATTTACTCGTTTAGCCTATCGCTCCTTATTATTATCGAGAATATGTTACAAATCTGGGTGTTTTTCCAGCCTTCACTGAGTGGCAGTCGTACGCGGCGCGAGCAACAGACCCGAAACCCTAAACCGTGACTTCATCATCTTCCGAACCAGCTTCAACACGCATTTGAAGGTCTCAAGGGGGCCATACGATTCAGAGGAACAAATACGCAAAGCTCTGACAGATCGTGGCCGTCAGAGTCTAATGGCACAGCAACAGTTGCCGTTCAGGTCGTTACCTGCGGTTTCGTGGCTGCTTCTCGCGCTTCTGCTGGCGTCATTGCTGACGTCAGCTCTGTCCACACTGGACGACGAGGTAACGCGCTTCCCGACAGTTGTAGCTGGTTTTCCAAGCGCAATGGGCATTCGTTAAAATGTTATATCGGACCGCAAGTTATTGGAAGTCAGCCAGTGGTCACAAAAGACGGTCTTTTCCGCGATTTTGGTCCAATTCGGATTTTTTGTTTTATTTTTTCTGCTTTCCCTGGCACCCGACACTATTCTCATCATCCCGTTGATCCTCCTTTCCGGCGCTGAATAACCTCTCCAGAAAATTCCCTTTCCAGCGCGGCTTCCCTATCGACGCCTTCCTCCAATCCGCCTCTATTTTCCAGACAGTGCATCTCATGTTAGCTCCACTGAGTAGGCATCTCTTCAGCTATCAACGTCTCCCTTCTTCGCTCTCCCCCCCCCACTCTCACCCATTCCCAGCCTCACCGTGTAGCTCAACCTTGCCCTCATCATTTGGTTTCCCCTCCTGGCACCCACTCTTGCCTCTCCCCTAACCTTACAAGGTGGCAGCTGATCGCGGCGACACAAGCAGTGACACCAGCACCAATGGAAGCATAGTACTTGCTCTCTTAACCCGCTCTCTCCTCTTGCTTCCCCCTCCTCGACACCCACCCACTCTTGCATCTCCCCTAACCTCAAAACGTGGCGGCACAGGATCCTAATTGGGACTTTTTCGATAGCGGCGACACAAGCAGTGACACCAGCGCTTTAGGAGATGACGCCAGCGACGGCTTGAGCACCAATGAAAGCAGCATTGAGAGCAGCCTCGGCACTGACATCAACAGCAGCAACAGCGGCAGTAGTAACAGCAGCAACAGCAGTAGTAACAGTAGCAACAGCGGTGACACAAGCACTGACATCGGCACTTCAGGAGGAGACTCCAGCGACGGATTGAGCAGCAGTGCCAGCAGCATTGGGAGCAGCCTCAGCACTGACAGCAACAGCAGCAACAGCGGCAGCAACAGCAGCAACAGCGGCAATAACAGCACTAACAGTGATAGCAGTAGCAACAGTGACAGCAGCAGCAGCAACGACAGCAACAGTAGCAACGACAGCAGCAGCAGCAGCAGCAACGTTGGGTGTGAGAGGGAGTGTTACGACCCTACTGAGGGCACGTATTGCCGGGGTGTGAATGAGCCTTGCCTGCAGGAGGAATGGATGTGTGGGCAGAACCAAAACACCTATGTAAGCCCCAATCTCTGTTTTGAGCCGACTCAAAAGTACTGCCGGGGTGTGAACGAGCCCTGCCTGCAGGAGGAATGGATGTGTGGGCTGAAGATACCTATGTAAGCCGCAACCTCTGCTCTGCGTGACATTCCTAGTAGCGACCCTCATCCTCCTGCTTCGGCAAGTTCCCTCTCTCCCACTGATATCTCCCACTGTGTTTCTCAATCCTCTGCTCTCTCACTGGTCTCTCCGCTCACACCCTCTCTTCTGATACCATCTCCCTTTCCACTCTCTCCTCTCCCACTCTCTTTTGATCTCTCCTCTACACCCTTTCCACTCCCACCCGCTCCTCTTCCAATCTCTCCTCCCGACGGTCGCGCATTCCCTCACTCCCAAGCCCACGTCATGCACATGACTTTCTTCGCTTCCCACTTCTTGCCTCTCCAGGCTGTGTGTGCGGCGCCTCTGGTCGTGCAACATCATCTATGGCTATTTTTGAGGCGCCTCAAGAAACGAGCCCATAACTCTCCTCGCGTCCCACTTCATGCACATAACTCTCCTCGCGTACCGCTCCAGGCTGATTGTGCGGAACTTTGGTCCTGCAACATCACTTATGGCTCGGCTACTGCTGCGTGGATCGCGATAGCGACCCAGATGAGCACTGTGGGCCAGGCTGTGGGAACTCTTTTTGAGGCGCCTAAAAAAACAAGCCCACATCAACACATGATTCTCCTCGGCTCCCGCTTCTTTCCCCTCCAGGCTGTGTGTGATGACCTCTGGTCCTGCAACATCACCTGGGGCTCGGGCTTTTGCTGCGTGGGTCCCCATAGCGACCCAGACGAGGTCTGCAACCCAGACTGCCAATAGCCGGGCCACGTTCGTTGCACCGAAACCAACAAGTGTGTGCCAGCATGCAACGGCGTGTCCGAATGCCCACTACTGAAGCACCCTGTAACGAACAAGACCCTGCCTTATGGCGAGGATGAGGACCCGGATGTCTGCAAGAAGACTAAACCATGGTTACATAAATGTCAGCGGCAGCAGAAAGTGATTGTTCCGGGGTTTGAAGAGGAGGGGGGCGTGTGGGTCGATGTGTACATTTATGCCTCACAGGTCTGCGATGGCAACCACGATTGTCCTTTAGGGGACGATGAAGGGGCCACCACTGCTGCTGCTGCTGCTGGTGCGGGTGCTGATGCTTTAGCCAATTCCGGCACGGAAGCTCTGGATTTAAGCGACGACGAAGATCCGGCAATGTGCATGGCTCACAGTTGCTCAGATGGATTCTGGAAGTGTGTTGGAGGCACCCTGTGCATTCATCATTCTCACAGGTGCAACGGCAATAACGACTGCCCGCTAACCGGAGCAGCGGATGAGGCAAGTCAGGGGATGCATGGTGCAACTGAAGGCTCAGATGCTGTTTCGCAAGGGGTGGCTACAAGTGGCGGTTCACCTGTGGTTACAGGACCTGCCCTACCGCCTTACACAGCCGATGAGGACCCTTCTTTCTGCCGCTCATTTGTCTGTGATCCGTCTAAATGGCCACCCACCAAGCAGTGCCCTTCTACTGGTCTGTGCCTGCCATTGGAACAGTGGTGCGATGGAGTCAACGACTGCATTGATTATGCCAATTTTAGTGGTAGAAGCGGTAGTGCTGCTAATAACGGAGCTGCTTATGCTGATGATGAGGATCCCGAGGTGTGCCGGACGTTTGAGTGCCAATTGGGTTACAAGAGTTGTCCCAACGGCGTTCAGTGCTTGGATAGGTTCCGCTTCTGCGACGGTGTTATCGACTGCCACGTCAGCACGGACCCCGCATCAGCACACGTCTCTGCCACGTCAGCTGGTGGGAATGGCAGCAGCAGCGGCGGCAGCAGCGGCAGCAGCGGCAGCAGCGGCGGCAGCAGCAGCAGCGGCAGCAGCGGCGGCAGCAGCAGCAGCGGCAGCAGCGGCAGCAGCGGCAGCAGCGGCAGCAGGGAATGGTTGCATGACGAAGACTTTGGATTCTGTGAGAGCTGGAGCGAGAATTGTCGTGACATGTATTACCTGCGTCTGTGTGACAACGTTCCTTACTGTGTCAACAGGAGCATGAGTGAAGACCTGGTGAAGAGCCAATGCACAGGTAAGGAAAGGTCCAGCTCTGGATGAGTAGGGCTTGCTACACTGTTTAAAAGGTGACGCAACAATGTAATTTACTTGCTCTTGACTGTTGATATTTGCGCTGCTCTCAACTCTGGACAAGCAGACATGTATGACCTTTGAGGCGACTTACCCTCCCCCCCTTCCCCAACCCCCCCCCCCCCCCCCCCCCTCCATGTGCTCCTGTCCCCTGGTGTTTTCTGTGCTCCCAGCTCTGAATGAATGGGCGAAGATTCAGAAAGACGCTGCTGCTGCTGCCGAAGCTGCTGCTGCAAAGAAAGCTGGAGATTTGACTTCATCAGCTGCCAACAATGGTACTGCGAGCGGTAACTCCACCTCAGAAATTGGTAACCCTGTTACGCCATCAAACAGCACGTCAGCCTCACGCACAGGATCATCCCGTAGGAGCCGGAAAGGGTCGGAGAATAGAGGAGATGCTGGTGGGGCTGACAGTGGTAACAAGTCAGAGCAGGGAGGGGGGAAGGGAGCTGAGAAGGGAGGGGAGAATGGGGGGGAGAAGGGAGGGGAGAAGGGAGGGGAGAAGGGAGGGGAGAAGGGAGGGGAGAAGGGAGGGGAGATGGGAGGGGAGAAGACAGGGGGAAGTGCCAGTGGAGAGAAGCAAGGGGGGGAAGCGAGTGGGGTTAAGAGGGAGACAGAGAAAGAGAAGAAGGCAAGAGAGTGGGAGGAGCGAAAGCAGCTTGCAAAGGGCAAAGCGAGGGAAAAGGAGGAGGCTGCAGAGAAAAGAAAGAGGGAGGAAGAGGAGAGAAAGGCAATGGAAGCTGAGGAGAAGGCGAAAAGAGAGGAAGCTGAGAAGGCGAGGAGAGAGGCAGAGAAGGGTAAGGGAAAGGACAAGGGGAAGGGCAAAGGGGGAAGCAGAAAATCACCCAAGCTATCGCCTGGGAGGAATACAGGGGTAAGAAAGTCACGAAAAAACCTTCGATAGTACGGGTATAGCTTGGTTGGCATTTCTACGTGTTCCTTACGTTGAAGTATATGGTGCGGGTATCTTGTTTCTGTGTCTGTACAATGTTATGTTTGAAATGTTAGCTCTGTACATCTTGTAAACTGCTCCAGCACATTCAGGTTCGTGGCCGAGACTAAATAAATCGAATAGTGGCACGTCAGCTTTTTTGTAGGCATGTTCGTACGCATGTTCGTACGCGTGTTTGTACGCATAGCCTTCGTACACATTCAGTTCCCCAACCTGCACCTATCATAAATTTATGGAATTTCCCTTTTGTCAGCCTCCTATTTTATTGATAGCCCTTCATTTATTCACAGCTTCGTTATTAGTTAAATATGTGCATTCTTCCCTACAACTCATAACCAAACCATGCATATATAACTCGTCAGCAACGTAACATTCGAGCATTCGTATTCTTTCGCACGAATGACATATCTGCGTTGACTTCCGCGACCTCATCACGGCCCCTGAAGCTGAAATCTCTGTTTCCCCTGAAATTGACCTGCGATTGTTGCGCTCAGGTGGACCCTTTCCAGGGCCACACTGCGCTCCGCTGCGGTCGTTGGGGGTCATAGGGCGTCATCCCTAGCCACCACCAACCTCAGTTTGACAGCAAGGCAGGGCAATATCTACCGTGATGCGTCTCGGCACATTTCGCGCGCAAGCTGTTTCTTCAACTCCCTCTTCCTCCCCTTATTCACAGCCATTTGTGTGCATCGCGATTTCCAAATCGTTTTAGTACTACTGTACTACTGCGATCTCTCAGGCTTTTTTGTGATGGCTCTCAATCACCCCTTTGTCGCAGTAATCTCAAGCAAGCCCGCATTTACTCGTTTATCCTATCGCTCATTCTATAAAATATGTTACAGATCTAGTTGTTTTTCCAGCCTTCACTGAGTGGCTGCGGTACGTGTTGCGAGCAACAATCCGTGACAGACGCGAAACCCTAAAACCGAGACTTTACCTTCCGAATCCCTAACAGACCCGAAACGTTCACCACGAATCGGAAGGTCTCAACGAGGCCATCCAATTCAGAGGAACAAATACGCAAAGCTCTGACGGATCGTGTCCGTCGGTTCGTACTGCTGTTAGTAATGGCACAGCGACATTTGCCGTTCAGGTCGTTAGCTGCGGTTTCGTGGCTGCTTCTCGCGCTTCCGCTGGCGTCTTTTCTGTCTACAGCAATGGCGTCCATACCGACCGAAGAGGTAATGCGCCTCCCTCCCTCCGGCCATCCACATCATTACCGTGTTTTGTTTTTAGTGTGAGATACCGCAATACGGTAGCTCTAGCTATGGCACTTCCGCGTCTCCCGTCGCGGTTCCCATCCTCCCGTTCAAGTTAACTCTCCTATCCAGCGCTTAAAATCACCTTTCAGGCGAGGCTTCCCCCTCGGCGCCTTTCTCCGCCGCCTCCAGTTCCCGCATCATATAACATCCCCACGGTGCATCTCGTGTACAGCCCCACCGATTGAACCTCTCTTCGGCTACTATCACTTCCCAAGCCTCTGTCGGTCTCAACCCATTCGCTCTCTTCCCCCACTCTCACCTCTTCCTTCCTGGCCTCGTAACCCTACCTTGCCCCCACTCATGCCTCTCCCCCAACCTTAATAGGTGGCAGCACAGGATCCTGGATGGGACTCGTTCAACAGCGGCGACACAAGCAGTGACACCAGCGCTTCAGGAAATTACGTCAGCGCTTCAGGAAATGATGTCAGCGCTTCAGAAAATGACGTCAGCGCTACAGGAAATGACACCAGCGCTTCAGGCGATGAGACCAGCAACGGCTTGAGCAGCAATGAAAGCAACAGTGAGAGCGGCCTCGGCAGTAACAGCAGTAGCAACAGTGACAGCAGCAGCATCAATGGAGACAGTACTGCTGGCAGCAGCAGCGACAGCAGCAGCAGCAACGAGAGTAACGGCAGTAACGGTGACAGCAGCAGCAACAGTGACAGTAACAGCAACAACAGTGACAGCACCAGCAGCAGCAACGTTAGTAACAGCAGCAACAGTGACAGCAGCAGCAGAACCGACAGTGAGAGCGACAGCAGCAATGATTATGGGTGCGGGCCTGGAGAGAGGGTGTGTTACGACAACGGTGCACCCAATGGCATGTACTGCCGGGGTGAGAACGAGCCGTGCATGCAGGAGGAATGGATGTGTGCGCAGAATCATAACACCTATGTAAGCCACAATCTATAGCCTTAGATGTTGCTAGCATGACATTCCTGGCCACCCTCATTCTTCTGCTTCACCTCTTCCCTTCTCTCCTGCTAAAGCTCTGCCACTGTGTTTCTCACTCTCAGCCACTCAGTCCTCTCCTCTCTCTCCATCTCTCCCACTCACCTCTCCACTCACATCCTCTCCCCTGATTCCATCTCCCCTTCAAATCTCTCCTCTCCCACTCTATCCTCTCCAAATCTCTCCTCTACACACTTTCCACTCGCTCCTCTTCCAATCTCTCCTCCCCACTGTCACGCCGCCCTTTCTCTCCCAAGCCCACATCAGCACATAACTCTCCCCGCTTCCCACTTCTTGCCTCTCCAGGGAGTGTGCTCGGACCTTTGGACATGCAACATCACCTATGGCTCGGGCTACTGCTGCGTGGATCCCCAAAGCGAACCAGACGAGCACTGCGGGCCAGGCTGTGGGAAATCTTTTCTTAGGCGCCTCAGAAATACTTCATAACTCGCCTCGCTTTCCCTTTCTTGCCTCTCCAGGCTGTGTGTGATGACCTCTGGTCGTGCAACATCACCTATGGCTCGGGCTACTGCTGCGTGGATCGCTATAGTGACCCAGACGAAGTCTGTGGGCCTGGCTGTCAATACTCGGACCAGGTTCGCTGCACCGAAACCAGCAAGTGTGTGCAGACATGCAACGGCATGTCCGAATGCCCACTAATGAAGCACCCTGTAACGAACCAGACCCTGCCTTATGGCGAGGACGAGAATCCTGAGGTGTGCAAGACGAAGGAGAATGGGTACTTCAAGTGCCAGCGGCAGCAGAAAGTGATTGTTCCCGGGTTCGAGGAGGAGGGGGGCGTGTGGGTCGATGTTTATATTGATGCCTCGGAGGTTTGTGATGGAAAGAACGATTGTCCCTTAGAGGGTGATGATGAAGGGGCCACCACTGGAGCTACTACCACTGCTGCTGCTGTGGCCAATACAAGCATGGAAGCATTGGCTTTAAGTGACGACGAGGATCCAGCGATGTGCAAGAGTCACAATTGCTCCTATGGATACTGGAAGTGCCCTGGAAGCACCCTGTGCATTCGGGAAAGACAGAGGTGCGACGGCACAAATGACTGCCCGGTCACCGCCAGTGCAATTGATGATGCAGCTCAGGGGATGCATGGTGCAGCCGAAGGCTCAAATGCTGCTTCGGAAGGGGTGGCTACAGGTGGTGGTTCCTCCGTCAGCACTAGTTCACTCAGCACTGTCGGTTCGCCTGCCCTACTGCCTTACACAGCAGACGAGGATCCTTCCCTTTGCCGCGCATTTGATTGTAATACGGAATGGACAAACACCAAGAAGTGCCCTTCTACTGGCACGTGCCTGCCACTGGAGAAGTGGTGCGACGGGGTCAACGACTGCATTGATTACAGCAACGACAGTAATACGAGCGCCAGTGCTGCTAACGGACCTGCTTATACTGATGACGAGGATCCCGAGGTGTGCAGAACGTTTCGGTGCCACTGGGATTACGAGAAGTGTCCCAACGGTGTTCAGTGCGTGCATAAGTCCCGCTTCTGCAACGGTGTCATTGACTGCCACGTCAGCACGGACCCCGCATCAGCAAACGTCTCTGCCACGTCAGCTAGTGGGAATGGTAGCAGCAGCAATAGCGGCGGCAGCAGCAGCAGCAGCAGCAGCAGCAGCAGGCAATGGTTGCATGAGGAAGAGTACGGATTCTGCAAGGGCTGGAGCGAGATTTGTCGTTACTGGTCCTACCTGCGTCTGTGTGACAGCAGCCCATACTGTGTCAACAGGAGCATGAGTGAAGACCTGGTGAAGAGCCAGTGCACAGGTGAGGAGAGGTTACCTTTGAGGATTCCAAAAGTAACTCCAACTGTGAAGATTTTCTAAAGAGCCAGTGCACAGGTGAGAAAAGGCTGCTTCCAGCTCTGGATGAGTTGGCATGTATGACCTTGAGGTGACTCAACATGTGTCGCTACTTACTCTTGTCCCCTGGTATTTGCGCTGCTCTCAGCTCTGGATGAGCAGGCAAGTATGACCTTTGAGGCTTACGGTAAACCCCCCTCAACCCCCCATTTGCTCTTGTCCCCTGGTGTTTGCCGTGCCCCCAGCTCTAAACGAATGGGCAAAGATTCAGAAAGACGCTGCTGCTGCTGCTGCTGCTGCTGCAGCGGCGGCGGCTGCTGCTGAGGCTGCAGCTGCTGCGGATGCAAAGAAAGCTGAGAATTCCACTGCAGCAGCTACTGGCACTGTGCCTGCGAGCGGTAACTCCACCTCAGAGAGCGGTAACCCTGTTATGCCATCGAACACCACGCTAGTCTCACGCCCAGGCTCATCTCGCAGGAGTGGGCAATGGTCGGATAAGAGAGGAGAAGCTGGAGGAGCTGATAGTGGTAGCAAGGCAGAGCAGGGAGAGGGGAAGGTTGAGAAAGGAGGGGAGAAGGGAGGGGAGAAGGGAGGAGAGAAGGGAGGCGAGAAGGGAGGGGAGAAAACAGGGGAGGGTGCAAGTGGAGAGAAGCAAAGGGGAGAGGCGAGTGGGGTGAAGAGGGAGACAGAGAAAGAGAAGAAGGCAAGAGAGTGGGAGGAGCGAAAGCAGCTTGCAAAGGGCAAAGCGAGGGAAAAGGAGGAGGCTGCAGAGAAAAGAAAGAGGGAGGAAGAGGAGAGAAAGGCGAGGGAGGCAGAGGAGAAAGCGAAAAGGGAGGAAGCTGCGAGGGCAAGGAGAGAGGCAGAGAAGGGTAAGGGAAAGGACAAGGGGAAGAGCGAAGGGGGAAGCAGAAAATCACCCAAGCCACCGCCTGGGAAGAAGGCCGGGGTAAGAAAGCCCAGGAAAAGCCTTCAGTGAGCTGAAAAGGTGTAATTCAAAACCTTCAGCTTGTACCTACAATAAGATTCTGTTAGGTAGCGGTACATGTACGGTATGTGCTACCAGTATGTATTCTTGTCGTGTATCGAGCGTGTGTAATCATTGGGAGTTCGAAAAGCTCCTTCACACTTTGCCAACCAACCAACCAACGATAAAATTACCCTCTTAGCAACACTCTTCTGACTGAAACAGCATTACATTCGTTGGTGGGCACAGCAAGAGCAGCCTCATGGCAGAAAAGAAGCTCCAGATCATATGAGACTCAACCAGCCAATGGTGGCAACCACTTGATCCCACGCTTGGCACAGTCCTTTCCAACCGTGCTGAAAAACGTAGCTGGATGTGCAAGCGTGTACGACTTTTTCGCCTTGGTCGCGGGCTTCGCTATCCAAGTGCCAACGTCCTTGGTATTGCACGTGGTGAACGAACTCGCGCTGCCAGGGATAGCGACGCTGTGCTTGCGGCCAAAGAGGCCGCTGTCCCACTTGAAGACTGCCAGCCAGAAACGAAAGGGGGACGAAGCCAAAGGGACGAACCACACATGCGATGGAGAACGAAAGGGGGGATAAAGGGGGGATAAGGGGAGGGGGGGGGAGGTTCAGGACACCGGTGACCAGTACATGGAACTTGAATCTGATGAACCAAGCTGTGGTTGCCAATGGTGCTGATCGACGATCGATCGCCATGAATTTGATCGAGCGAATTGTAAAACGGTGTCAAACGGTGAGAAACAGTGACAAGAGGCAGTCAAAGCAGGGAGGAGGGGGGGGGGGGGGGAGGGAAGAGGGACGGCCAGTCAGATGCAAGAGATCGACTACATGCAATGTGGGTGATAGACTCCTTCTTGCGCGAATAGCACAACCCTGATTTGATTCGAACACCAACCTAGAATCTCGCCGCCTTCAATGGTCGGACCTGTCCAATCCTTGACGCCCGGCCAGCCCTTCTTGCCGCCCATCACTATCGTAGTGGCATGCTGCATGAATCGAGCAACACTGAGAAAACATGGTGAGACAGACGTCGTGCGGTGCGGGGACGGGGTGGCAGTGGCAGTGATGGTCGTGATGCAGCGAATTCTCACATTGAACGCGCGGCAGGTCTTCATAGTATTCGCGGCCATACTATGAAGACCCGATGGCCGCGAGAGAAACGAAGGGCGAGCAGGGGGAGGGGAAGGAAGGGGGGACTCCCCTTCTCGGAGAGGGAGGAAGGGGGAGAAAGGGGGGGGGGGGAGGGGAGGGGGAAGGGGGAGGGGAGGGGGAGGGGTTGCACAGCGCACTTACCGCGACTGCAGGGCCGGTTGCGCCCAGAAGGTCCAAGTCGTTGAACGAGCAGCCTGCGCATCATCACCCAGGGTGAACGGTTCTTAGCACGGATCGTCACCCAGGGTGCGGCGGCGGTACCGGTGACGATCCGTGCGCATCATCAACCAGGGTGAACGGATCTTAGCACGGATCGTCAGCGGTACCGCCGCCGCATTCGGCGCGACAGCGGGGCGTGACAGGACGGTACTAACAGAACACACATGATAGCACAAGCAGGTGGAGCACGCAACGGGGAAAAACAGCGCTTGGAAAGCACCCTGTGTCTTGTCCTAAGCCGAAGGCTGTTCACGAGCTTCGAGCTCGAAGGACTGAACTGCGCAGCAGCAAGACCAGGCGAAGTGCACACAGTCGAAGGACTGAGTTAGAAGGCGTACCTGCCAACAGCAGCAGCAGCACCAGGCACAGTCGACTCATGATTTCTGCGGGAATTCTAGGAAGAAAATGTCTGCGAATGGCTGGTGTAGGAAAAACTGGAATGCTCTTAGCGTGCTGAATGACCCAGCATTTATCGTACGTTGCTGGTGCGTCTTGCTGGTAGTAGGAAGGCAGTTGGCGAGACACACACGGACGGAACCCGAGTGAATCAGGGATTCAGGTCGTCGTGAGCAGGGGAGCTCGACGCCGCAGCGCAGCGGCCGTCATGATAGAGTTGGTCCCCAGTCGAGTCGTTAACGACGGTGGGTCGGTGTTTGGATCGAACGGTCTACGACCAGAACGAGCGGATTTAGCCACGATATGCGGTGCTCGACGATGCGCCTTGAGGAGCACTAGCAGCGGCTAGCATTGGCACGACTTGCAAGGACGACGCCGTAAAACAGAAATCGTCACGGTTACCTGATCCCACGCGTCGAGGTGACTTTTGAGTCGACTCAAAAGCCACCTCGCCGTTGAATGCAAAAACGACGAGTCCTGGTAAGTTGGACTTTGTACTTTTCTCAGTGGCGAGCTGGCGATTTACAAACTTTGACTTCGCTGGCGCGCCATCAACGGTGAGGCGTGATGGACGCCTGATGCAGCAAAGTCTGTGACTCTAGCGCAGCCCACATCGGCGTGACACCTGTTCTGCTTCGGAAGGGAAAAGTCGTGAGTCGAGCCGGGCGCAGAAAGCCATTTCTCGATCTGGTCTGGGGCCGAGTCGCTAGGCGGTGATTGGTGTTCAGATCGCACGGTCTACGACCAGAACGAGAAGATTCGACTAAAGTGGCGGTTGAGATACGTGCTCTACGAGTCGACTTGGTTAGCACCACCGCGGTTGCAAGGACAACGCGGCCATGGAGATAAATCGTCAAAAGCCGCCCTCTTGCTGGTCTATCTGTAATTGTGAGTCATCTGACTGTTGTTCTTTTCTTCAGCACGAACCTCCAACTTTGACTCTTTTCGCGAAGAATCAACCCTTTCTGCAAGAAATTATGGGGTTACTTTCCTTGTAGAAGCTCTTTAGCGAGTATGTTCCGAACCACTTCCTAGACGCCTCCACAACCTTCAGAGCCTCGTTCATGCCGAAGTCCTCGCCACTCTAGACTTTTATCCTCGTTATTCTATCATTCAGTAGGCCTTCTAGTAGTATTCTCTAGTTTTCCACTTGAATTTCAGTTGCATGTGAACCTCGTGCCACACTTCAGTTTCATATCGCTTTCCTAAACCAGTATCTTCCACCCGCACATGATTAATTTTGGAGATGGAGGAATACATTTAGGTTCAGAATACAATCTTTTCTGCTCGTCGTGCCAAAATCGCCCTCGACACCTGTTGGAGTATGAAGGGAATTATGATGCAATGTGAACCGTCTTATAGGATCGTCTCAGGTTGATCGCACGGAGTGTAGCAGCGGAAGGTTTGAACAATGTCCGGTACGGACTCTGTCAGTAGAAGGAGTTTTGAATATCGACAGAAGTAATTAACACAATGCGGTACAAGGGTTTATATATGAATACAATGGAATACGAAAGGTCCTAGCTAGCCATGTACTCTGAGGGGGTACATTCCCCTTAGGGCTAATCTAGATGCAGGATTGCAACTGTGCGGTTCGGTAACCGTTTGAACTTTTCCCGCACTTTCCATTTCGAATTCTTCCTGCTTGCAACCGTCTTGGATAACTGTCTTGACGCTTGGTCTTTCGTCCTCGCTGCAGTCATCTTCGCGTTAAGGGTTCGTTACTTTAGGAATGTTCAATCATTCCATATCGTAACACTCCCCTTCATTCCTGGAGTGGCGAAGTCTTGACGCGCTTAGTTATACCGCAGATGGCTCCGCAGTGGTGGTACTGCTGACGTGGCAGTTTCTTGGTGAGGAAGTCGGCTGCCATGTTACCGGTGGGGCAGTAAGTCAAGATGACTTTGCCTTTGTCAACTTCGTCTTTGACGAAGAAGTAGTGGAGAGCGATGTGCTTGGTGCGGTTGACGAAGCCATGTTTGTTCGCGATTTTGATCGCGCTCTGGTTGTCGCAGTGCAGTTTGAAGCTCGCGGACGTCGCAATTTTCGCCTCCTGAAGCAGTTCCTGGAGGTAGAGTCCTTCGCGAACGGCTGATGTGGCGGCGATGAACTCAGCTTCAGCAGAGGAGAGCGCCACCATTTCCTGTTTCTGGGAATTCCAGGAAATGGGTCCTGTTGGCTCGAGGCGGAAGAGGAAGCCGGTTCGGGACCGTCGATTTCCAGGGTCAACGGCGTGATCTGCGTCCACGTATCCGACGAGGTTGAATGAGCGAGTCGCGAGGGTGGAGTAGGTGAGTCCAATGTGCGGTGTGGAGATGAAGTATTGGAGGGCGCGCTGTAAGTCCAGCATGTGCTCCCCTTCAGGCCGCTTGGCATATTGAGCGAGCTGGCTGGCGATGTAGGACAAGTCAGGCCTGCACGTCACAGCGGCGAAGAGAAGGCAACCGAGTTGTTTCTGGTAGAGCCGGTGTTCGACGGGGTTGAGTGGTTTGGTGATGACGGGAGCAGTGGTTGCCGGGGTGCGGTAGGGAGTTGAGAGGTTGGCTGGTTGGATGTTGAACTTGGTGGAGAGTGTGTCTGCGTACTTGGCGGCGGAGAGGTGGATGGCGTCGTCAGTATAGGTGATGTTGAGCCCCAGAAATTGGGTGACAGAGCTGTTGCTGGTGATTTCCACGCGGTTGCTGAGGTTCGTCTCGAACTGCTCAAGAAGGTCATTGTTGGTGCCGGTGTAGAGCAGGTCATCCACGTAAGCCGTGAGGAGGATCTAGTCTCCGCGGTAATGCAGACGGTACATGCCAGGGTCATGGGGCAGTTGGGTGAAGCCGATGTCCAAGAGGATTTGGTGAAGATGTTGCTGCCAGAGGCGTGGTGCTTGCTTGATGCCGTAGAGAGAGTTGCGGAGCTGACACACGCGGTTGTCGCCATCGCCGTACGTGTGTGATTGTTCGACGAAGATGAGTGCGTCGACGGGGGCGTAGAGGAAGGCATTTTAACGTCGATCTGGTGGAGTGGGAGGTGCTTAGCGGCGGCGATGGCTAGGAGGATGCGGACGGAGGTGTGGCGGCTGACAGGAGCGAATGTTTGGTCGAAGTCCACGCCGTGGCGTTGATCGAAGCCGCGGACGACCCAGCGGGCTTTGAAGCGTTCGATGGTGCCATCTGCTGCGGTTTTGACGCGGAAGACCCTTCAGCGCCGCACGATCGGCGAGGACCCAGGTGTCACGAGCTTCGAGAGCGGCGACTTCGGCGTCCATCGCGGCGCGCCATTCCTTGGCGTAGGGGCCGGTGAGGGCTTGACGTGGGGTTTTGGGTTCAATCGCCTTGGGTGGGTGGGAGACGGCTGTGTGCAGACCCAGAATGTGAAGGCCGGAGATGCCGGGGCTGTGACGTTGGTTGCTGGTGACTTCTACAACATCATCGTCCGAGCCGTGGCCGTTGGATGGTGTGGGGCTGAGGAGTGGATCCCGTGAGGAGTCGAGGGGGGCGCTATCCTCGTCGTCATCGTCGTCGCTCCAGGGGCGGGGGCCGGGCTGGGGGTCGGTGGGGTCTTGTTCCGCGAGTGCCTCTTCTGCTTCGTCGTCTGGAGTGAAGAAGCTGCGCGGGGGTCGATCGTAATTCGCGACGTTGGTTTCTCCCCTGGTGCGGTCAGCATGGCGGTCGTGCTGAAACTTACGGATCGTGAGATCCTCGTAGAATATGACGTCACGAGCCGCCACCACTTGGGAGGTATCGTGGTCGAGGATGTTCCAGGCGTTGTGGTCGAGGCTGATGCCGAGGTGCACGCCCCACCGCGCGCGACGTTCGAACTTCCCCGTGGTTGCTGCTGGTGGCCGATATTGAACCATGCAGCCCCAGACGCGGAGCAATGAGACGTCTCCCTGCTTGCCAGTGAATTTGAGATGTGGGGAGAGATTGTCGGTGTTGGCGGTGGTGCTAAGCAGGTTGTGAAGGCGAACGGCGTGATGCATGGCGTAGGGCTAGTACTTCGCGTCGACGTCGCTCTGCTGCAGGAGGGCGCGGACCTTCGTCATGAGCGTGCGGTTGGTGCGCTCCGCGACGCCCTATTGGGGGTGCGCATATGGCAGTGAGAGCGTGTGCACGATGCCTTTGTCCGCGATGTAGTCCGCGAATTTGTCGCTCTTGAATTCGGCTACGCAGTCGGTTTGCCAGATCTTGAGGGTGCAGCCCGACTGAGTTTCCGCATTTGCGTGCCAGATTTTGAAGACGTTGAACGCCTTGCTTCTGTGAGAAACATTGGCCACCCAGACAAAGCGAGAGTGAGCGTCGACGAAGGTGAGGGTGTATTCTTCGCCGTTGATGCCGGTCTGGGTGAGAACGAGGAAGTCGCTGTAGACTTTCTGCAGTTTCTCGTAGCGGTTTGTGCCTGGTTCGAGGAGCTTGAATGGCTGGTGGGCCAGAGCAGCTGTGGGCCAGAGCAGCTTCGGGGCAGATGTGGCAGTCGGTGCGCTGAGAGGTGGAGTCAGTGAGCGGGGTTCCGTCTGTGCGAAGCAGTGTGCCAGGTAGGAAGACTTGTGCGCGGATGCAGTTGTTGAGGACCTCCTGGGAGGGATGGCCGAGGC